GGACGCGTGGAAGAGCCCGGGGGGCGGTGGGCGGGGGGGTGCCTCCTTCCCCTCGGGAGCGCGTGGGGAGCCTGTGATAGATCCTGCCACGGTGCCGTTTGCCCCTTAACTGCTGTCCTGGATCTAGTTTAGATTTTTTTTAATTTTTTTTCTTTTAAAGCCTACAGATTTAATCTCACACATCGTTCCTGCACAAGGCCAAATAATGAACTTGCGCTGGCTGTGGCATTTCCTTTTTTAACGCCTATCATAACCGCTCACTGATGCCCGTACTAACATGGAGGCGGTTTGACCGGTAAAAGCGCCAACGCCTCCTGATCCGGGGGAGGTAACGAAATGACCCTTAAAAGGTTTTATTCCCAGCTTTGCCTCTGGAAGCCAGTGGCAGGTGCCTGCAGGTGGGGTAGGCTCACGTACGCGGCTTGGGCGATGACTGACTGGGCACCGTGGCAGCAGCCATGCTGCTTAGGCCGCAGATCGTGCAGCACTGGTGGGTGCAGCTTAGCCTGTCTCTAAAAAAGTGTTGCCATGACATCATTATCTGAATTTCAAATAACTTGTGCAATGACAGAAATGGAGTGACGAGGAACATCGTGCCAGAAGGGCGGCAGGGGAACGCTTTCCCAGCCTCTCTTCTAGACAGTCAGTCGGTTACGGCTGGGCAAGAGGAACCGTGGGCTTTGTGCAACAAGATTGATTTTATTCAGGTACAGTTTTTTTGTCGGCATTTCCTACTGTTGATGTAACTTTGCAATAGAGAACAGCAGCCAGGCAAGCGCCCCGGTGCCCCCGCAGCCTCGGGCGGCCGCTCACTGGCAGAGCGATGGGCTGAGGCTCCGGAAGCCGGGAAAGGCTGCTGCATGGCATCGTGCTGCTGTGTACGCGCCGACTCCGGTGACGTCGTGCTGCTGTGTACGCGCTGACTCCGGTGACGTGCGCCTGTGCCGCGCTGCTGCGTACGCGCTGACTCCGGTGCCGCAGGCCTGCTGCCAGCTGCCCCCAGACCTTTTTCCTTCCCAAGGGCGCTACCCTCCGCCTCGCTGAATCGCGCTATCTGGCAGACCCGGCAGCCGCTGCCTTGCCACCACCATTTGCCGTTTGACGTGGAACCTGGACGAAATTGGCTTTCCCCCGCCGAAGGCGAGGGCCTGGCCTTGGCCTGGCGAAGCTGCGGCGCCGTCACGGCTGCTCCCGGTGTGCTTACTGTAATGCACGGGTTGGAAGTAGTTAACTCTTCAGTTCAGTTCGTGTAACCGCTTGTCCCACAGCGACCCTCACGTGGCTTCCAGGTGGAACGGAAACATGGCGAAAACATTCCAGGAGTGCTTGGTCTCGCCTCTCTGGGGACACTGTCACCTCCACTAGGTTTAGTGCTGTGCTTTAAGGTGTTGGTGAGAGTTCTTGGCTAATTCCACTAGTTGGTATCAGTGGTTGTGTAGCAGAATGACTGATTTTTGAGATAGCGTTTCCTGTACAAGTACTTAAGCATGGGTTGATGGTGCACTGTGTAATCGGCATGCATGCTGGGGAACCGACTTCCTCCCCTTCAGAGGCACCACGAGCCTTCTTATCCAGTTGCTGGTTATGTAAAATACATGCAGAATGTTAATGCAGTGTCGTTATGGTAAATGTGTGAACAGTGTTACTAATTGATATAACTGATAACAGATTACATGTGCCTGACATTCTTATACCACACAGTATGTTTAGGTTTTAACTAATATGGACTTCGGTGGAATAGTCGTAGATATTTCAAGCCTTTGTTTTACTTACACAATGGTGCTCTACTTGTGTTTTTCTCCTTTTTTTAAAATAAAAGCATCTGAACACTTGTAGTACATATGACATCCAAAGGAGTCCAAAACAAAGTGCTTCTAACCACGCTTGGTTCTCATTTGCCTTTAGTTCCCAGCGCCTCTCATCAGCCCGCTTTCTTTGGGTCTTTTTTTTTTTTTTTTTTTTTTTTTTTTAACTTGTTGCTGACTACTTTGGAAAATTTCGGTAACGTTACCAATTATGAAGTGATTCTGCACTGCCTTTGGATTGTGTATGTATTCAGAAACAGTCTTAAAGCTTTTATTTAAGCTATTAAAAAAACCAGGGACTTGTGCCCTTTGTTCTTTACCAGTGCTGTTGTAAAAAGACTTCCCTGTGAAAAAAAAAATCACGTGCTATGAACTCTGTTTATAGCTTTTTTTTTTTTTCCACGATGGATCTTTTTCTTTGTATTTGTACAGTGGCTCAGTGAAAGATGTTGCCATGAGTTGATATTGTAACCAATAAACAAGTGCTTTTAACCAGCCCCTGTCACTCGTGAGGGTGTCATTGGCGCGGTGCGAGCAGAGCGGCCTCCCCCGCTCACCCCGCCTGCGGGTTACCTGGGCGCAGGAGCTGAAGGGCCGGGTGCGCACCTTAAGCAGCAAACTGCCTCGGGAACAAGTCCTGCCGTGATTTTCTTCTCCGACCCCAAGCCATGAATTGCTCAGCACCGCTGCACGGAGGCTGCTGCAGGGGGTCACGTCCTGCGCTGGGAGCTCCGGTGCAGGCTGCCACCTTCAGTAC